TTTTCCCCTGATTTCCCTGACCTATGGCAACCCTAGTTTATACTTTGGAAAATTCAGATGGAAATTAATGAAATTATTTCACCCAAAGTGAAATCAAATGTAAATGCTTCTAGGTTGAGAAAGAGAGATAGAGAGAGATTTGATGACATCGATAATGCATCTCGAGATGTGAAGAAAACCGTTTATGGAAATCCACACTCTCGATAAATAATACATTTCATCTAAAACGAAAATAGGAAAGTGATCGTAATTTACAGGTATTCGCATATATATAGTAACGAACGCAAATGAACTTGAGAGTAATGGCTCATTGTTTAGAAGATAATCAATTTACACTAATACAGGATAATTTTGCGCCAATCCTCCCAATTTAGGATCCTACAATTCATCGACGAATTAAATGAAAATTCTCTCGAGTTCCGTTTTTCTTTTATGCAAAAATCAAAAATTGTTTCGATTTTTTCATTTAATAAAACAGAAATGTACGTGAAGTTGACAGTGCGATTGCTTTATAAACTCGAAATAATAGCAACTTTTAAAATTAATATTGGATCTGAAATGTTCGGATGCGTGTGTTTATAGAGGATTATATTTTTATCCTGTACAGCTATATATACGAAAGTGGAACATATAAAATACAAAGCATTTCAGTGAATTTGAATTTTGGCGTTAACTGATACTGGTACAAAACAATTAATTCACTGAAATAAAAAAAAAAAAGTGGTGCACAATATTTTTCAGCTTGCTGAAATTTTTTTTAAAAAGGAACATTAAAATTTCAATTATTGCTCGTGGATGTTGATAAATGGAATGCTTGATGGAATAACACAGCGGTTAGTTTCTTTCTTTTTTTTTTCTTTTTATGTCCGAGTTTATAATCTAGTTGCTTATATGAAACTGAAAAGTGAATATTTACCCCCTAATAACTTCGGTTTATTTTCACAGTTGCCGGAAACTCTTTCGTGTTCTCACGAAACAAGCATTATCATTAATTTCACCAGATCGGCCGAATACTGTTTGCACACTGCAAAAGGAATTTCCTCAAATAACGCAGAGGAACGCAAACGAGCTCGGTGGAATTGCCGTGCATTTTAGAAACTTCATTAACATTAAAAGGCGAAACTCGCGGACTCATTTAGTAATTAGGTATTCCTCTTCCACAGAAGAACCTCGCGACTGTTGAAACTTTAAGAAGCCAAAGAGCATTCGAATACGTGAATCACAATTTCGTTTACCTTCAGCAAGCGACGCGCATTTTTTTTATAACTCCTTTGCAATTCCAGAAATTTTCCTTCGGAGCTTATAGTCAGTCGTTCATTTACTCTTTGACGGGAAAAAAAAGTTTAAATAAACCATAAGGGAGAAATTAAAATTCATTATAAACGGTGCTCCATTTAAATGATATGACTAAATCGAGCTAAGTTTGAAACAAAAAAAAAGGTGAACATCAAAAATCTAAATTGCAATTCAATTCGAATGAATCAAATAATTTAGTTTAACATCCGTTGAAGCAAACATTGAATACATTGAAAACAAAAAAAAGCAAACAAAAATCACAAATTGAATACAGTAGTTGTTTTAATAAAAATTTGTTTCAAAGTTACTCAGGATTGCCACAGATCAGGGAAGTCAGGAAAAAGACAGAGAATGTAGAATTGGTCAGGGAAATCAAGGAAAAGTCCGTGATTTTTATTAAAAGTACTGGAAAAAAATTAAATCTTTATAATCTATAAGAAAGTTATCAATTTTTATGTCTATTTGTTTGTCTCATAAACTGTAAAATTACCACGAATTCCAAAAAAAAAAACCATTAAATTTTATCTATTTCTGAAAATAATTTATTTTGAATAACTCAATTTTATTGAAGAACTGCCATAAAGATATTACTTATAAATCATTACCTCTTAATAAATATTTAAATTCTTTCCAGAAATTCAATTATTTTCGAAAATTTGAAAAAAAATTCTCGTCAACGTTTCAATTATTTTTATACATAGCAAAATTATTTGTCGAAATTAAATTATTTTAAGGAATTTTAATAACATTCATTACAAAATTCGATTTTTTTTGGTAAATAACAATATTTTTTACAAGAATTCAATTATTTTCAAAATTTAAAAAAATTCTTCGTAGAAATTCAATTATTTTTAAAAAATTCTTCGACAGAATTCAATTACTTCCAGGAAATATAATAAAATTAATTTCAAAATTCAATTATTTTAGTAAATAACAATATGTATTACTAGAATATAAATATTTTCAAAATTTTAAAAAGTTCTTCGCATAAATTCAATAATTTTCCAAAAATTCGTCGACAAAATTCAAATACTTACAGGAAATATAATTAAATACATTGCAAAATTAAATTATTTTCATAAATAATAATATTCATCACAAGAATTCAACTATTTTCGAAAATTTTAATAAAATTAATGGTAAAATTTCAATTATTTCCAAAAATTTCATTAATTTAATTATTTAAAATGGAAATTGCACAAATGTTTTTAAAAATCTCAAATATTTCAAAATTTTGCATTAAATTCTTCGCAGAAATTCAATTATTTTTATAAATTTTAAAATTCCTTTCAGGGATTTAATTATTTTTATAAATATAATAAAATCATTCGGAGGAAGTTAATTGTTTTCGTAAATAACAATATTCATCACAAGAATTCAATTATTTTCAAAAGTAATAAAATTTAATTATTCTCAAAAATGGTAATAAAATTTATGGCAAAATTTCAATTATTTTCAAAAAATTTTTTTAATTTAATAATTTGCATATCTATTTTTTTAATAAAATTTTCTACAAGAATTCAATTATTTAAAAACAATTTTGACAAAATTCTACACTAATATTCAACTATTTTCTAAAATAATGAAATTTTCACAGAAATTCAATTATTAAAAATAGAATTTGCATAAATTTTTTCGAAGAAAGTCAATTATGTTTGAAACTTTTTCATAAAACTTTTCGTAATAAGTCAATTATTTTTATAAATAATAAAAGTCATTGCAGAATTTCAATTTTTTTTTATACAATTTTAATCAAATTTCTCGAAAAATGTAATTATTTTAAAAAATTTTATTAAAATTCGCCGAATGAATTCAATTATTTAAAAATTTGATGATAAAATTCTTTATAAGAATTCAATTTCAAGAAACAGTTAATTATTCAATAAATTATCTTTGTTTGTATTTAAATAGTTGAATTCTAGAATTTTCTAATAAAAATTGTTTTAAAAATTAATTTCATTGAAATTAATTCTAGAAAATAATAATTGAATCTAAATGATGAAAATATTTATTTTCATCATTTCAATTCAATTATTATTTTCAATATGTTTTCGATTTCAATATTCTTAAAATATAAAATAATTATTTTATCACTCGATCATTTCTAATTATTAGACAACATGAAGAAATCTATCACTCCGAGTCGAAGACTCGGAGTGATATATTTCTTCTTGTTTTATAATAATATTCTTATAAGTTGTTGAATTTCAGTCTTTTGAAGAATTTTAATTAGAGACTGACTTTTTGCTTTCAAATTAGTAAATTTTACTAATAAATTTAGTAGTAATTTCTATTTATTAGTAAAATTTTGCTTTTGAATTAGTAAATGTTACTAATAAATTAGTAACATTTACTATTTATTAGTTGAAATTACTAATTCAAAAGCAAAAAGTCAGTCACTTATTTAAATTAGTATAAACATTTTTACTAATTAAAAATTAGAGAGTAAATCAGAATATTTTTTAGGGTCAGGAAAAAAAATCAAAATCAGTCAGAAAAAAGTCTGGAAATTAGGGAAAAACAAAATTAAATTTTTGTAGCAACCCTGTTACTCTAACAACGCCGGCAGAACTATAAACATTTTAGCCAAGAGATTTGTGTTCCCTTTTTTTGCAGAAATATTCTCTCACACAGTGGACATGATAAAAATAAATAAATAAATAAATTTTGCCCAAATGAACGAGCAGATATAGAGCACTTTTTTTTACGAGTGTAGGAAATAAAGTCAATAACAGTTTTTCAATGTAATCCGTTAACAAATTCAGTTCCAGAAGTACAGAGAGAAGAGATCGTCAATCGTTATGTCGGAACTGCTGCAAACCATCGACCGAAATTCACCTTCGACCTAACCAGTAAATTTTTTGAGGCTATTAACTTTATCGGCCGTAGTAAGAAGATCCTAACTTTTTATAAATGGCGCTCCACTCTACAATATATAGCTACACAGGCCTTCCACGGTGTGGCGCAATTTACAAAAAAAGCTCGTTTCTCATTTTATACTCTATAGACTCGAAAAACCCACGTGGTGTGAAACAAAAGAGAGAAAAAGAGAGAGAAAGGTCTCTCTCAACTTCTTGATTCAAAAACCCCTGTATTATGTAATTGAAAACGATCAACTTCATTCATTTCTTCGTCTCGCTCTCAAATCCTTGAATTTCTATCTTTAAATGCAATTCAAACTCTCTTAATTTTTGTCTTCATCTCCAAAGATCTTGATTTCACTGTGACAGTATTTTTACGTCGCGAAATATTATTTCATTACGAAAGTTATAATTAAACATTGAAAATTTAATTGAATCTTAATCTTTTAATATCGTTGCGTTGCAATCATTTTTAAGTCATACATTTTTGCGCTAGAATTTCTGCTGAAAATAATCTACATTTAGAAATTAATTTCCAAGGAAAAATCAATTTTACAGTTTTGAAAAATTTAATCACATTTTGAAGAACTATCACAGTACAAAATTTGCAAATTTACAATTTATAAAAATAAAAAATCTCAAATACCTTACAAAAATTTAGAATATTTTCTATTTTCTCTTTCACATTTTATTCAAAATTGGTATTTTTATTTACTCTCTAAACTTGAATTAGTAAAAATGTTTACTAATTTGAATTAGTGGCTGACTTTGCTTTTTAATTAGTAAATTTTACTAATAAATAATAATTTTAAATATTTAGTAAAATTTACTAATTCGAAAGCAAAAAGTCAGTTACTAATTCGAATTATTAAACATTTTTACTAATTAAAATTTAGAGAGTATGTGGAATTTATACTTTAATCGTCCATACTCATAAAAGATGTTATATCATCAAAATTTTCCTTATTAATACAATTACAATTTTGTGAATGCTGATGTAAATTATTATTATTATTATCGAAATTAAATCGAACGCTTTCACTTTTCTTACTATCTGAAGGTTCTTTCAAACTTTTCATAGCGGATTTTAAATCTTCTTCATTTTCAGATAAAGGGTAGAGAAAATCCGAAAGCAGCTCAACGGAATCTACACTTGGTAACTGTGCAAACCTTTCAGCAATTTTATTTGCTCGTTCCAATGGATCACCTTTTGGTAAAAAATAGTGGCCTCGATATCTCCGTAAAATTCCGTATTGTACTCCTTTCTTCAAAACTGAATTCACCTATTTTCAAATAATTTTTAGTTAATTTTTAATTATTTAACGAACGAGATTGGGGGGGAGGAGCAAAAATAATTATTTCACTAGATGCAAAAACTAAAAGCAAACAAAAAGAAAGAGAAAGAAAAAATATTCAGACTAGGAAAATAAAAAGGTTTTGCCTTCTTGCTCATTTACTAAAAACTACTATTTACTACTTTTTTTAAGATTTTTTCTACCAAAAGAATTTTCACTACTTTAACTTCGATAATAGTTTAAATTTATTTATTTATTTATTCAGAAATATACGGGCAATAAATTAAAAAAATTATTCTTAAAAATTTTAATAAAATTCTTAGAATTCTTTAAATTCTTTGAAACATTTCACAATATTTTAATAAAATTCTTTCAAACGATTAAATTATTTTTAAAAATTTTTCGGAGTTCTATTAGTTTTAATATCTACTATTTTAATAAACAATTTCCCAAAAGAATTCAATTTGAAAAAAATTATTTAAAATTCTTTGCAAACATTTAGTTATTTTCATAAATAATAAAATATTCAGAGGAATTAAATTATTTAAAATACTATTTTCATAAAATTTTTCGAAAAAACTAATTATTTAAATTGATTTTTATCAAATTCTTCACAAGAATACAATTATTTTAATAAATAAGAAAATTCTTCACAGAAATTGAATTACTTCACAAATTTTCATAAAATTTTAATTTACAATAAAATGATTAGTTTTGAATAATTATAATAAAAATTTAACTAAAACCGAGTACAAAGCCTGAAAATATGATAATTTACTTGTCGTTTAATTCTTGCTACTGGAAGTTGTGTTGCATAGGTAAGATATCCAACAATTTTCCGTGGCGTAGCACCTTTGGATTCTTTAAGCTCTTCAAGAGCAGAAACAACAAGAGTTGCAAGTTTCAAAGGTTTTGGCTGACGAATATTTTTCTTACTTTTAAGAATTCTTTTTGCCATTTTTCAATGTCGATCACGAACAAGAAAAAAAAAAAATTAGTTGGTGGTGATGAGGTTATTTTCTATTTTACTGGTAATTTTTCACAATTATTCATTCACAATTTATACAGTTTTAAATTTTGAATTATCAAGTTTGTTTTGGTTATCCTTTTGTCAAAAAAAAAAAAAAATACAACGAATTTTTTGTTTTTAACCTTCACTAACTTCACTCTACTACATCTGTTATTAATTTCTTTAATACGTAATTTTACGTAAAAATAATCATTTTCTTGATTCGCTGTATCGTATTTCGGAATATAAACCAAAAAAAAATCGAGAAAATTTATTTGGTTAAAGTAATTATTAGAATTTAATTATGTAATTTAACCAAATAAATTTTCTCGGTATTTTTTTTTATTTATATTCCGAAATACGATACAGCTACAAAGTACGGTGGAAATTCGCTGATTGAGATACTTTTCTTATCCATGACACGCAAATAAAATTCATATCTCCCGTTTACACGCAAACTGTTTGGTTTTTTTTTTAAAGATATCGTTGAAAAATTAGTCAGTCGCTCATGAAAAATGGCTCCAAGAAACTTGAATACATTTGTCATTCCAAAATAATCTTAATCAGTGTTATGAAATAATCCTTCACAACTCGACGTCTACTTTCAAAAATTAAGCGATATTTTTTCCAACAATGAATTCTATAATTGCGGCATTTTTTTCAAACAATAAATTTTCCCTGATTTCCATAACTTTTTATAATAATTTATAAATAATTTAATAAATAATTGAATATTTCTTTAAATTGAATTTTTATGAAGAACTTCATCAAAATTTTCAAAAATAATTGAATTCTTTCGGCGAATTTAAAAAGTAATTTTAAGAATAAATACAATTTTCTATCAGTTTCTTTATGATTGTATAAAAAATAATTTGAATTCTGCGATAAGTTTTGTTATTTAATAATTAAATTAAATTTTTGCAAGGAATTTTATTAAAAAGTTATTTAAAGAATTAAATTCCGAATAAAAATATTATTATTTTTTGAAAATAATTAAATTACATCGAGAAATTTCATCAAAAAATTGAAAATAATTGAAATCTAACGAAGAATTTTATTAAATTTTTATTAAATAATTGAATTCCTGTGAAAAATTTTTTATTTTTTACTAAAATTTCTGAAAATAATTTAATTTTGTAGAAGAATTTTGCTATTCATTTATAAATATATAATTGAGATGTTGAAGAACAAAATGTTTTTATTATTTGAAAAGAATTGAATTTCTCCGAAGAATTTCTTGAATTTTGAAAATAATTGAATTCTTGTGATAAATATTGTTATTTACGAAAAGAATTGAATTTCAGCGAAGAATTTCATAGATTTTAAAAATAATTGAATTCTTGTGATAAATATTGTTATTTACAAATATAATTGAATTTCTGCTAAGAATTTCTTTAATTTCGATAATAATTGAATTCTTGTGATGAATATTGTTATTTACGAAATTAATTAAATTTTGCTTAGCATTTCATTTAAATTTTTGAAAATAATTGAATTTTGTCGAAGAATTTTACTATTTGTAAAGAGAATTGAATTCTTGACGAGAAAGTGGTTAAAATTTTTGAAACATTTAAATTTCTTCGAAGAATTTAATTACTTTTGAAAATAATTGAATTCTTGTGATGAATATTCTTATTTACGAGAATAATTGAATTTTGCAATGAATTTTATTAAATTTCTTTAAAATAATTTAATTTCGGTGAAGAATTTTGCTATGTATAAAGATAATTGAAACGTTGACGAGAATTTTTTTTTCAAACTTTTGAAAATAATTGAATTTTTGTAAATAATTTTAATATTTATTAATATATAGTTGAATTCCTATGAGACTTTCTTATAAATTCTAAAAATATAATATTTTCCAGTACTTTTAATAAAAATCCCTAACTTTTCCCTGATTTCTCTGATTTTTCCCTGACCTGTTGCAACCCTGATAATCAAGCGACATTTTTTTCCACAATAAATTCTATAATTAAGAGACATTTTTTTCCACAATGAATTATTATTACCCATAATAGAAAGAAAAGGCATAATTGTTTCGAAACTAATATCGAAACTTTGTAATTGGATCTTGAAAACTATGAGGTAACAATGTCAAAATAACAGGTACATCATCAACAAATACTACTTTACAACCTTTTATATATATTCCACAATTTTCTCATGGTCTTATTTTATTTGCTTGTTTTACTTTTCCCATTTGTCTCGAAAGTTCCGAGAACAGACGACCGCTATTGTCAGAATGGAAGAGTGAAAATAACACCCGTCAAGAAGAAAGTTAAACTCAATACTATTATCTTCTAAAAAATATGAGCGCTCTTCTATATCTGATGATAAACATGAATATCAATTTTTCTATTTCTACTTTCAATTTTATTTCTCTGTTGTCTTTGCTATATTAAAATGACTTTCCATCATTACTTTCCAATAGAAAAGTAAAATTGAATAGACTAGAAAAGAAAAGTAACTAAAATCCTATTTCTAGAGTTTTAAAATGAAATTATACGACGATGTATTATGAGTGCCAAAGAAATAAACAAAAAATAACCCGGCTTAAAAGAAACCTTTATAAATTACAATGTGCATTGCGGACAAGGGGGTGTTGTTTTTCCCTTGCCATAAACGCTAGAATTATTATCCCCACATATACTTTAAGTGCGAAAAGCCCGACTGCGAATTACTTACAGTGTTTTGCATAGAAATTTATTAGCACATCTAGGTCTTCTTCCCCTCATATTTTCCATCCTTTTCTCTCGAGTTCGAGAACCACACGCAAATCGACTAACTGACCTGGGCTCTACGTCGGTACACTTGTACGCTTTGCAGCATATCCGTTGGATGAAGTCGCGAACGACTATAGAACTGTTGATTCTTGATGCTGAAAAAAATATTTTTATTATTAATAAAAACTTAAAAGAATCAGACTTCGCACTTGATAATTAATTTTAAAAATAAGTAGCAAAAAGTAGCTTTCAAACAAAAAAAAATTTACTGGAATTTTTTTACAATAATATTGAATTTCCAAGTAGAAATTTATTATCTTATTAAAATACCCCAAAATAATTGAATGTTCGGTAATAATTTTGTTATTTATCAACGACATAATTGAATTCTCTCAAAGAATTATTATTTATGCAAATAATTGAAATCTTGGGCAAAGAATTTTATTATAATCTTAAAGAATAATTGAATTGTTTCAAAAAATTTAATTAAATTGCATTTAAAATAATTGTTTTCCTTGGAACAATTTTGTAAAAATATTTGAAAAAATTGAAGTACACAATTAAATCTAACAAAAATATCAACATTCCCAGTACTAGTGCTGCTGCTCCCGCTGGCTTAAAAAAAAATTGTCCTGATTCAAATTGCGACGAATCACAGTGCTCATATTTTTCATTCTCAAGTGACTTCGAAAAAATTGAATTTAAACATAAACGAGATATTGTTGCTGCGAAGAAAAAGAAATATACAAAGAAATCTACGAAAAACGGAAAAGTGAAAACTGACTGAAAACTGAAAGCAATGCTGTCCGTAAAGTTGTTGCTGCTACTGCAAGTACATCTGCTAGCGTTGATAAGTGTCCTGATTTTTTTTCCTGTGATCCAGATTGTTCATGTATACTCTTATTTAGTGACATTCGAGTGCGACGAACATGAACATAATCCTGAAAATCCTCCAAATTTAGTGTCAAGAGAAAAAAAATTTTACGACGTGAATAAAAATAAAAAAACATTCAAGCGTACTATTAAAGTTGGATTAAATTCAATATGCAGTGACGAAAATTTAAAAAATTTGTGTAAGAAATTTAAATTTATTGTGTACAAAATATACGTCATTTCTGAAGATGACATGAGTGCCCTTGGCATTGACAACACACGGAAATAGAGTCAGTCTGTAGCGAACTTTCGGAAGTAAACCTGTAATTGAGCAAATTTAAAATAAACTGTGAAAATAATTTTATACTCAAAAATTTATATCCTTCATTTTAAACCATCCTCACATTTGTTGTATTCTTATTCCAAGGAACTCTCACCTCTTTTAATAATAATGTCAATTTTTGCCGATTATGCTTTGCGTCATCCAACCTAAGATAGTAAGATAATTTCTTATCTTAGAGATAAATGAACAAAAGAGGGACCAAATTATTCACATCTCCAACATTTCTTTAAAAATAATTCACAAACAAATATGGAAAAAGAATATCCCGAATTATATAATATTTTCCAAGATTTTAAAGATTTACCAGAATATAACCATAAATTATATGATGGTACTAAATAAGACCTGCTGATGATTTAAAAGAAATGTGCAAACATATGGATACAAATTTCAAAACTAATATTCACGAACACGGTCCAAAACGAATAAAAGCATTTTTCTTAAATTAAAAGATAAAACCATAAAGAGGGAAAAAAAGGAAAACGAAGAAGAAATAAACGAAAAAGAAATTGAGAAGAGGTTCAAAAATGATAAGAAGAGGAAAAGAAATGAAAAAAAAGAATTAAATGTCAACAAAAATCTATACATTTCAAAGAGGAAAAAAAGAAGGCGAGACGTGAAACACGAGAGGAGGCATTTAATAATGAACAAAAGAATAATAATAAAAGGAAATTGGAGATTTCTAAAATGATGGAAAGAAGAGAAATAGTTTACAAAAGTAAGAAAAAGCGGGATAGGAAATCAAGGGCAGTGGCAACAACAAAACATGGAAAATGCAGTGGAACCGACTGAACAAAAGGAAAAGAAGACAACCGAAGAAATATTAGGTAAACTGGAAAATGCAGTAGCACCGAATGAGAAAGAAAAGGAAGAGCAAATTAAAAAAATGTTATATAATTTGTTAAATAATAATATTTGCAACAACGAAATTCTTCAAAATTTAAATAGTGAAAGTTTGAATTTTAAAGAACTAAAATCTTTCTCAAAATGTCATAAATTTTTTTATCGTTTGCAGCAATACATGGCATCAAATAAACTCAAAAGCTGTAATTTAGTTCCCGTTCTTAAAGTTGGAGTAAAACATCTTACATATACAAACAGGACATTCGAGGAGACAATTCGAAAGTTAAAAAACGAACATCCAGAAAATTCATCCAGAAAACAACAAAAACGATGAAAATTATTCACTGCAGGAAATTAAAACTAGTAAAAAATTGAAAAAAGAATTGTGGGATGAAAAAAAAAGACTTAAAAAGGTAAAAGATAGGAGAATCGAAGTTTTGTAATAGGCTTAAGAAAGAATTACAAGAATTAGAACGAAAATTAAAAAAGAAAGAACTAAAAGGAAATTCAATCATATATGCTGAAATAAGATCAACTATATTAGAAAAACAAATGAACCAAAAACTGAAGTAACAACAAATTTTACAAAAATTACTGGAATTGACCCTGGACTTAAACTCGCATTCGACGGTGCAATTAAAAGTGGATCAAATTTAAAAATTGATTCTTTCGATGAACCTCTAGAAATATCAACAAAAACTTTTCGGTGGCAAACTTGTCAACATAAAAGAAACATGGTGTTACATGACAAAGGAGGTAATCCTCAAAAATATTATCAAAATCTTGCAAAGAAATAATTAGCCGGTGGAAAAGATCCCTCACAAATAATTCAATATACTAATTATCGTCTGGAAGCATTTCAAAGAAATCAACAATTTCACGAAAAAAAAACAAATTGCTCGTCTCAAATGGGATAAATATCAAAATGTTCAACGAGAAACAGTTCTGCTCGCGAATCACATCGTTGGTAGAGTCTCTGAAGAATCTCCTAATCTTACTGTGTTTGGACAACCAAAAAAATCTCCATACGTACGTATTTCATTGTCACGCGTGGTTTGTCGTATTTGTCAAAAAGCAAAGATTCTTGGGCGGAAAAAGGTGCAAGTGATCTTTGTCGATGAATATAATACAACGAAAATATGCAGTTGAAAATATATCGTAATAGGACCGCCCGCTGCAATGAATGCAAAATTTCATGGAACAGAGACGTTAATGCAGGAAGAAATACCCTACACTTGGGACTGGCATTATTGGGAATAATTGATAAAACTACTTATTTTTCACAACCCAATGTCTTCAGAGCTCTCAATTCCTTGCAGCCTTGATCGTCCTCATCACAAGGTAAGCACCAATTTTTTCATTTTAATTCCTCAAAAAAATCTATTATCTAATTAAAAAAAATGGTTTTTTCATATTTTGGAGGAATTCAATTATTTACAAAAATATTTGAATTTTTCACAGGAATGCATTTTTATCAAATATTTTAACAAAATTGTTCTAAAGAAAACAATTATTTTAAATGCAATTTAATTAAATTTTTTGAAACAATTCAATTATTCTTTTAGATTATAATAAAATTCTTTGCCCAAGATTTCAATTATTTGCATAAATAATAATTCTTTGAAAGAATTCAATTATGTCGTTGATAAATAACAAAATTATTATCGAATATTCAATTATTTTGGGGTATTTTAATAAAATAATAAATTTCTTCTTGGAAATTCAATATTAATGTAAAAAAATTCTACTTATTTTTTAAATTAATTATCAAGTGCGAAGTCTAATATTATTTTAAGTTTTTATCAATAATAAAAACACGACTCACCTATTAGTAGGGGAACATAGTCTAGGTCGGCCACCTTTTTGACTTTTGTTTATAACTTTTTTTTAAAAATGAATTTGGACAATTGAAGTATATGGTTGGAAAGTCCTGTTTAATAGGAACATTTTTTCTGTACAAAGTAAATTGTCAGGTTTAAAAATGAAAAAGTTATAAAGATTTAAAAAAAAAAAAATTTGTAGTCCAGGTTGGCCATTACAGTCAAGGTCGGCCATGTTTAAAATTCAAAGGGCATTAATCGTTAAAAAATAAAATAACATGTTTGGAGTTACGGAAAATTGATTCTTTATTGTTTACAGTTTGTAACTTAATGAAATAACAAAATAATAACAATAAACAATATAAAAAAATAAATATAAATAAAAAAAAATTTTGCACTAAAATATTAATAAAATTAAATAAAAATATTAATAAGATGATCAATTATATTATGAGTTATACGGAATTGCAGTTTTTGCAAATGAAGTAGCTCGTCCTCATCTTTGCGCATTTTAAACACATAGTGGCCGACCTTGACAGTAAGTAACATTACCGAATTGTTGTAACCATAAAGAAATACGTTTCGGGATTCGATTTTTTACTTTGTTTTTCTTTCAACCATGAGTCCCACAAATTTTCTGCATACTTGCCTTGACGATTAAATTTGTTTTTTATCTTTTATTAATGGTTTTTCACATTATGCACAAAACTTTTTTTCAGCTTTTTTTGTACCGACGTCACAGAAAACACAATTTTCGATTTTCCGAGAATGTAATTGAACAAAAAGTTAGGTTACTCTAAGACAAGCTTCGACAAGCATGCGCGTAGGTGGCGCTAGTGAACTTGTCCAAAAAATCGCGATGGCCTACCTAGACAGTAGACCAACCTTGACTACATTCCCCTACAAAATATTCTATTCCCCGGCTTTCTCCTCGATTGTACAGCTTCAGAAGTTGGACTCCAATTATTATAACAAATAAGAAAAAGGATTTAAATACGATTCGGCGCCGGCCGGCGAGATTTGGTAAATCGTGCTTCAACAGTGTTGCCAAGTGTGACGAGAATATCGAAAATTAGAATATGAAACATACAAGAAACAAATATATAAAAATCATGAATTCATAGAAATTTAAGCGTCATATAATTTAAAGATGGAAACTTTGTGTTTGTAATGAACTTAATGAAAAATTTATTTTTCACAATTGACCGCATAAATTTCATTTCACACTTCTCCCTGCCCCTCAATTTTCTACAAAGAAAATAAATTGAAAAAACATTTCTTTTGTCACTCAGTAAGCAAATATATATATATATATATAAAAAAAAGAAAAAAAATCAGATAAAAATACATCAATAAATCGTACATTAAAAAAAATATTAACACTATCTTTGATAAAAGAAGAATTATCTCAATTTCTGAAATTTTATTTTGTGTAAAAACAAAAATGACCTTCAATGTAATTATCTATTTTTACTGCATTTCTTATTACGACATAAAATAGAGTTTAGAAGACTTTTTGAAAATCGATAGCTATGTTGTTGTGTTTACAAACACGTTATCGTGTATACCAAAGAGAATGCTACACAAAAGAAAGAAGCAAATTTTAAAGATATTGAAAATAATTTTTTGAAGAAAAATATATGTGTAATTAAAAACTTTTCTCTTTTCTGAAATTTTATATTTAAAATTGGAAAAAAATACTATTTTTATATAGTTGAAAAAATGAAATTAAAAAAGTGAAAAGGGAATTTTCACAAATGAAGTCACGTTTTTGAGCAAGAGGGGGGTGGTCTTTACTGAACTTGACACAATGTATTTTTCACACGTGAAATTAAATAAAACTGTGTGACAGGGGAAGGGGGGGGGGAATTGGAAAACTAAAAAATTGCATGACGTCAATTGTAAACGCTCCAAAATAATAAAAAAAAAAGAAATATAAAAACACGACTTACCTGTTAATACAAAATATTCTATTTTCCGGCTTTCCTCTCGATTGGACAGCTTCAGAAGTTGAACTCCAATTATTATAACAAATGAAAAAAAAAGGATTTAAATCACTGTTCACTAATGTATTAAAAAAACACTATCTTCTTCATTATGTTCCTTCCTTTGAAGACTGATGACGGGAGGCCCGGGCGAGAAATGAGAATGATCTGAATACGATCCGGCGCCGACCGGCGAGATTTGGTAAATCGTGCTTCAACAGGTTCAACAGCTTCAAAGGTGTTGACAACTGTGACGCTAATATCGAATGGGGAATCGAATCCTCACATCCAAATTTGACCACTAGAGTGCACTATCACTGCACGTTTTTATGGCGCAAAAATTTAATTATTATTTTCTTAAAAGAGAGGACGTAAATAAACGTAAACGTACTAAAATTATTACTATTTTCCTACTAAATATATAAAATAATTAATCAAAATTAATTAATAATAAAATTTTATTTACCGTCACGTGTCTCATTATCGTAAAGTCAAAGATGAAATTTTGTCGACAATGCCGCACTTACCTGAAACAAAAGAAATTCTAGTAAGTATAAAAAATGGAACACTAATAAAAAAAAAAATAAATTAATTAATTAAAAAGAAAATAAAAAAGAAAATAAAAAATTATATACAAAAGAATTTTCATAAAATCTTTCGTAAGAATTCAATTATTTTTAATTTTAAATAATAAAACTCATCGCAGAATTTCAATGACTTTTAATACAAATTTTAGATGAATTTCTCGAAAAATGCTACTATTCTTTAAAATTTTTATTAAACTTCTTCAAAAAAGTTCAATTATTATTTTCAAGAAATTTTTTATAAAATTATAAAAATTCTTTGTAGAAACTTAATTATTAATTTAAAAAAATTTTAAATGTAATTATTTTCAAAAATTTTATTAAAATTCTTCGAAAGAATTCAATTATTATCAATTATTTTTAATTATTTTTTCAAGAGTTCATCATTGAAAATTTTCAAAATCAATTTGTTAAGAATTAAATTTTACGAAATTCCGATTATTCGGATATTTTACAATTAATTATTTAAAAAATAAAAACTTGAAATAATTTAAATAAAAGAAATTAATTCTAAAAAAAAATTGTCAATTAAAAGTATGAAAAATTCAAATTTTCAAAGATTCTAATTTCATACATTTTGAAAATTCAATTATTTTTAAAAATTCACGCTAGAGTAATGCTTTTAATATAAAATATTTAATTATTATCTAAAATTTTAACTGATAATTAATTTTTAAATCAATTTTTATTGGAATATTCAACGAGAATTCAATTTTATTTAAATCTTATTAAAATCTAAAATAATGATTAAATTATTTTACAAAGAATTTAAAAAAAACAATTTTTTAAATAATTGATTTTTTCAAGAAATTGAAATTACATTTTTAAGAATAATTACAATTTTTAATTCAAGTATTTTCAAAAATTTCCAAGTAATTTTGCAAAAGAATTCAATTATCTTGATAAACAACAAAATTCTTTCCAGAATTCAATTATTTTTATAAATTATTATTTAAATTCCTCTCAGGAATTCAATTATTTTTATAAATTATAATTTAAATTCCTCTCAGAAATTCAATTACTTTCATAAATTGTTTAAATTCTTCTCAGGAATTCAAATATTTTTAAAAATTTTAATAAGATCCTTCAAGAAGTTTTTAATTATTTTCAAAAATTGTTATAAAATTCTTTAATATAATAAATTTCATTAAAATTTTAACGAAATTTCTTAAAAGAAATTGAATATTTTTTAATCTTTTGAAGAATTTTAATTCCATCGGAAAAATAATGATTAAATATTTATTTTGAATATAATTATCGATATTTTCAAATAATTTTACTTTTGAAGAAATTTTTAAATAAGAACATTTTTTTAAGTATCTAATAATTTTTAGAATCAGAATATTTTTTAGTACCAGGAATAAAGTCAATGTTCTGTCTGGAAATCAGCGGAAAAGTTAAATTTTTGTGGCAACCCTGTTTATCATCTTAAAACTTAAAATAAACGCTTCATTGGTTTTTTTAAGGTCCTGATGATCAGTCTTCTTGTCTTCGATGCTTCCTTTCAAATCCAAGAAGGCCATTGATTTCACGAATGTTCGACATTCCTTCCCTGTCTTTCGACTCGCCAGTCTACAAATAAAGCTAATTGGACTCGTTTTACAAGCTCTGTGGAAAATCATCACTGTCTGGATCGTGATTGAAATTTGAACTTTGAACACAAGTCGAGAGTTCTTTTAATAAGTTTTTTTTTTGCTTTTATTTTTAAAGTTTCTCGAACAATAGGGGGGAATGTGATTCGATGTGTAGTTGTTTTTGCCTGTCTTCTAGCCCTCGCTTTTTCAAAACCTTGTGTGTGAGATGGTATGAGAACGTCCATCGATTTTCTGTGTCCAACATGCACTTACTGTCTTTCCGCAAATAAACCTAATCGGGTGTGCAACACGATGGCTCGAGTTTGTTTACCCACTTGTACAAGAGCTCTAGACTGTCGGAAATTGCTGGGTTTACATTCTATTATTTTGAGAAGTCACCTGATTTATGGTCCTGCTAAAATAGAACACATGGGGCTTGTGAAAAAAAAGGAGTATATGGTGAAAATTTTCAATACTTTGAATAGAGTAAATTTTAATTTTCTAATTTTTTTTCTACCATCTTTAAACACCTCTCCTTTTGGCAAATTCTCTCAAATGAAAATTATAAGTATTTGCATTTCAAATCTTGTCTACTTTTCCGTATAGAAATTCAAGCAATTCAAACTATCATTTAGGAAAAGTCGGGTTAAATATTTAATACTTAAACAGTTCAGTTTTTTTCTTGATAATTTTCAGAAGAAGGGATATGAAATGAGAAATATCAACAGTGATGCATTCGAGTGTGAAATCGCTCAGAAAGTGTACAAAAGAAAATTTGAAATGCAGCGTAAATTTTTAAAAAAATGATTCAAATTTTTATGAAACAAAAAGGGATCTTGTCTTTTTGGCTTATATAGAGAAGAGAAAAAGTGGATTTAATTTTCTCAGCTTGGTGACCCATTTTCTTCCAATCAATCCCAGTTTTCTTGAATACTTTAGTATTCTTCAACGAATCTGGCGATTCTGAGTCTCACGGTGCTTAAGTCTTAAGGAACGAATGCTTTCCGCCACTTTAGTCCCTAATAAATTGGAAAAGGTCGAATGATTCTAAGATCAAAAGCATTTCATTCCTTTACACTTTTTATATATACTTTCAGTTCTAACTCTGAGTGATTCTTTACGTTCAAATTCTATAGAGTTAAGCTTTTCAAAAAATGCTTTTTTTCTTCTTCTACTTCATCTTCAGCAAGTTCTTTTTACTATTGAAGCTTCTTATTCCTGATATTGAATTTTTTTTTCTACTTCTAAGGAATTTACCTCAAGATTATTATTTAAAAAAAACATTTTTTCAATTAAGATCTGGTAAAAGATGCATAAAGTACAATAAAGAATGAATTTATTTTTAGGTAAGGAGGAAAAAAAAGAATTATAAGCACATTTATAGGAATAAAGGCTTTCGGAAAAGACGGAGAAACATGAGAAATTCAGCGAGCTTTTCCTGGAATTTCTTTTATTATCGAGACCATTCAAGTTCGTGAGGTTATGTGGGTTAAGAAAGGTCGAGTTTTTCAGGAAGAAAAAGTGTTCATAGTTTCCGGTTTGCAGCATCCCAATGTCTTGTACAAGTATATTTTTTACTTATTTTATTACAAACTAAACTTGAGGCCTTACGAGGTATTGTTCGCAAAAATGTGTTTCAGAATTTTATCCCACTTATATATATATACGTATACGTTCTTGGGTCTATATAGTAAATGAGGAAACTTTTCCAGTATTCGCGTGGTTATCTCTGTGTCTCTTGGCAGATGTAGCAACTCAGGCTGTTATGAGAAAAAATTATTGCTAGTGAAGTTCTTGACAAATTTTAATTCATTTTTTTTCGACTTTATGATAATTTATGATAATTGATGATAATTGATGATAATTGCAGTTTTTATTTCGAGGGGTTTATTGTCTTGAAAATTGATTCAAAATTATTTTAATAAAGTAAATGAGGTTATTTAATTAGGTATTTGTAGGAACTGGTAGGAACGTGGTTGAGCTATGTTTGACATAAAGGACTTTTCCTTTGTCCAAAATTCCATTTAGTCTGTAAAGAACATTTAGTTGGAGTGAAAATTGAATGCACTAATTGTCCGTAACGCGATTAAGTCATTTAACATTGACTTTTGTCTTCGAAGTAATTGGATTTAAGTTGAATTTTTACATTATGTGGAGAGGTTAATAAATGATAGTGTCAACGTTATTGGTACTCTTGAGTCAATGACTTTTTGTTATTAATATTTACAGACGTCAAGTTATAACTCTCTCTTTAATTAATTAATAATTGTTAATGTTACTCATAGAATTGTTGCAATGTTTTATGAAAAGGATGTTTTAGTACCAAATCCTCTCTTTTCTCAATTTCAACCTTTATTTTTTACTGTGGTTAAATTACGATTTTTCAAGCCTGAGGCTAGCCACAAAATTCCCATCAACTCTTTCTCTACTACTATATTGGAAAAAAAGGAATTCGATTAGAAACATAAAGTTCAAATTATCTTGAGAATAAAAAAATGTGAGAGTGGTAAAAAAGTAGTTCCCAAGAGATGGTTCTTTAATTCTCTCAGTAGGGTAACTTTAGTTATCCTTTCTGCCTAACTAACATGGCGTGTTGGAACATGCAGCGAGCCGCGATGCGCAATGGAGAAGTGTAGCCAGCCGAGGCTTAATTGTTTGCCTACGAATTGTTGTTAGGTAAAGTGGAAAGTTTCAGATAACTCGAGTTCGCTAGTGAGTACCTGAATTAAGTGTACGCTGTTCTCGTCGAGTATCAAGAGAGGAGAAGAAGTAACACAAGGATTATGATCACGTTGGATCAGCACTAAACTCAATTTTACCGAAATAAACAGGGCCAGAGAGAGAGAGAGGTATGGCAGAAACTTTGGAATCAGTTTCAATACTGGTTTTTGTGTGCGTAGATTATTATTGTTGTGCTCGCTTTTCTGTTTGCAAGTACTAAAATCTCTACTTTCTGACAACATAAATAACTTCAGTTTAATCTGATATGTGTGCTGAAATTACAAACTTTCGAGAAATTGATCATTTGGCTTTTGAATATACACATTGTGGATTTTCGCATTAAGGAGGAATCTTGTCATTCTTAATGCTTAATATTCGAATTCGTTTCTGATTTTATATAATTGATATAGGGTGGCCATAAAAAAATTAATTTTGTTCCCTGATTTTCAGAATTAAATTTATTCTCACGGATTTCTTTGAGACAAGTATTCAAAATCAACGAGAGGTGATATTTTCTTAATTATAAAAAGTGGTCAATTGGCCACTGTGTAAGTTCGTGCTCTACTTTTTCTAATCACATTAAATTTTATTGAAATATAAATTCTCTCGCCTGGCGCTCGTGATAAAATGTAATTGGAAGTAATATTA